CCCCAAAACCCCAAAACCCCGTCGAATTTCATCTAAAATTTTAAAGGAAATTAAGGTTAATTAAAATTTGATTTTGATCTGATCTCTGATTGATTTAATTAAGTATGTTACATTTTCAGACAGTTTTCTTAATAATTTCATCTTATCTGCAGTTGTGATAATCCTTCATTATTAGTCTGATTGATGACTTGGATCTCATCTTAGAGATCAACCTTAGCATAAGGCTACCATTTGTATTTGGATTTCTCTTGCACTCTGTGAATCATTCGCTTGTCCTGCCTCTCAAATCTCTGCTTCGACAGTTTCCTCCTTTCCTCTAGTTCTTATTCAGTCAAGAGCCTCATGTTTTCATCCTTACCCTCTTAACTATATTAATAGTCACTGTACTTTTCAAACATCCTCCATATCCTAATGGTCTCGTCTGCACCTACTGTGGCTATATGCTGGCTGTCTGGACTCATGCTTGAATGTAAGATTTCATCTTCATGGCTTTCCCACTCATATTGTTTAGTGAACCAGAAGCGCACTTTCTTGTCGAAATTGGGATTCTTTGGATTTGTCTAGAACCTATTCTGACCCTGCAAGTCATCTTCTCCCTCACAAGGCTTCATGTACTTGTTTACCTGCCACAGCTTCATTTCATTGAATGGCTCACCATGCGTGGTTATCAACTCTTCACAAAAATTCATATTGAAGTCCTCAAGGATCTTTTGCTTGTTGGTCTTTAGCTTGGTTTTTCTCCAATTCAGAGAGGTGATTGGTGAGCTGCATCTAAGTGTGTGCACTACCTCCTAGCTTACTTTGAAATTCCAAACTCTGATGATCTAGTCGTCATAACCTCCACCAGTTGCCAGAAGCCCTTCGTAGTTTGGAGACCAAGCAAGAGCTTTTACTGGGCAGTTGAAGGTCTCCCTATCGAAAAACCAAGGATCACTATGATAGGCATTTTGGTAAGAAATTTAATTTAGTTTCCAAATTCCTAAAGCTTTGTCTTAATTACTGCCTGTTGCAAGATAGATGTTAGATGGATCACTTGTCTGCATCATCTCATGCGATTGGTTCACTGACCAACTGAGACTGCATATCTCCCCTCTGTGCTTGTGCATCACACATATCTCTGAGTTTTTAGCTCTCACATCATGATTGAATATCATTGCATCTGAACCACCTGAAGTCAAAAGATAGGGAGCCAGGATACTTCTGTTCCAGCTGAGTGCTCCTACTTTAGCACCATGACTTGAAATAGTTCTAATTTATTAGCATCTCTCAACATCATAGATTTATACCTTCCTCTCAGAGGTACCTACTGCAATAGCTTCCCCACTTCTATCAAAGGAGACACTGGTGTAGTAGCATGGTCTCTGAGATAGTCCATGCTAAGCCAGTTAAGCCAATCTTTTTGGTCTTGAGTTATCAACTCCTACTAGATAAATGATGCTATCTAAAGCAATTGCTAGCTTTGAATTAGTTTCAAATGGATTACTTTAGGGAGCCCAGTCTATTATATTGATATTAGGGTCTAGTGATACTCTTGGAGCTGCAAGTATCTTGACTGGTGAACTTGGTAAAGGAAACTCTCTTTTTCTTGGCTTGAACACTTATTATTAATCCTGTGATTGTGAATTAGCACTACTCTCATGATTCTTATGAGATTGCTTTGTATTGAAAAGTTGATTTTGAAAAAGTCTGTCATCTATTATCAGTCTACCGTCTTCGTCTTGCATCTGACATAAAATTGAGTACTACTTAAGGCTGTACTGCTATTTCTGGAAGGAGAGTAATTTCCTTGGCAAAATTCTATGATTGTCAATTGGAAGTTAATCTGATAACTCCTCACACAAGTTATTTTGACTGAGACTGTGATGATAGACTCGCTTATTTGCTTTGGCTCTACCTTAGACTAACTACGAGGCAAGTAGAATTTTAAACTCATCTGGCTAGTCCTTCACGTTATTTTCATCTGAGCTGCTGTCATCGTCACCACTCGATAGCAAACTTATCCTGCCAGAGTCATCGTTGTTCGTGTTGTCTAGGAGTATTTCATTAATGTGATCATGACTTTGATTGGGTCTCATAGGTATATATCTGTCATTCTAGCTGTTGGCGTTCGGCTGTGAGTGACTTGGCATGATTATTCCTAATGACTGCTGGTTATATAGGTGATTTTATGAGGAGGTCATTTGCATTAGAAGCTAGCAAGACTTGGGCATGAATATTTGCTATTCTTACAATGAAGATTCATTCTCAAAGAGATCAATTCTCTCTACTTCGCCTCCTAACTTTATTTGAGTTTACCCGCCCATCCCACAGTGCTTCTGAGTTTTATGATCTCTCTGCTAATGAGCCAGTAAATGCTCTTTCTAACTCATAGTCACATTAGGCTGAGAAAAGAAATCATTGAATTTGCTATGGCAGGAGTTGGCTGAGCCGAATGTGCTCAACACTGGCATGGCTTGCTGTGAGTTTGGATTTTGATTTTCATCGCCAAACAGTGAGTCTCGACTAATAATCTTTCAAATGGATAAATACTTACGTCTTTGTCAGGAACGGATTGTTTTACTTAGGAAATTTAACTATTTCCTAGTTCTAGGACATATTCTAAGCCTCAGAATTTTTATAGACAAATTTAAAGGGGAGGTTTCCTTTTGTCTGTTTGTTTTGACTGCTTTGATTATTAAAATTCATTTGATTTTAAATTTAACAATAAATATTTCAAACTTTATAATTTACAATATTTTTATCTCAAGGGGTTTTGGGGTTTTGGGG